CCCCCCATTTAAAGCTTGTCTTCTTCTTGATTGCCTGGAAGAAGTAGAGGCATTTGTCACTAGACCAGATGAGGAATCTCCCCAATGCCGCCAGGAAACCGGTTAATTTCTGGACTTCCCTTACAGTGCGGGGCGACTTCATGTCAATAACCGCCTGTATCTTTTCTGGATTAGCCTCTATCCCCCTTTGATCAATTAAGAATCCGAGAAACTTCACAGACTCAACACCAATGAGTCTTTTCTTGATCCTTGATCGGTGACAAATGCCGTCTTTTCTTGATCCTTTCTTCCACAAGGGTATCTGATGGAAGCCTGAGTAGGCGTCTATGAAGCTCATCAAGGCATGGCCGGCTGTAGAGTCGAGACCAAACTGTCGATCTTTGGGAGTAGATAACTATCCTTCTGGCATGCCTTGTTCAGATTTGTGTAGTCAACACACATCCGCCAGGTCCTATTCGGCTTTTTAACAAGAACAACATTCGCAACCCAATCCGAAAAGTGACATTACCGGATGAACCCAGCCTCCAGGAGCTTGTTTACCTTGATGGCAGCCGCCTGACTTCTTTCCTCACCGTGGTTCCTTTTCTTTTGCCTAACCGACTTCTTTTTAGGATCCATGGCGAGTTTATGCACAGCTGCCTGGCATCTCCTCAACTTCAAAGGCAAAAATGTCTTTGAATTCCTTCAAAAGGGTGTGCAATTTTTCACCCAACTAAGCAAAAGCAGCCGTCCCCACCTTAATAGTTCGATCTGGACGGGTGTCATCCAAAACGATGTCAGTGTGATCACCAGCCGGCTGGGGACGTAGTTCGTATGACCTTTCCCCGGTCTGTAATTGCTATTGCTTCTCTTTCTTGACGGTTGCCAATTGGTCTGCCTTTCTCTTTTTAGCGGCTGCTCTTGGAGCAGGCGCAGCTTCTTTGACCTCATCAAGGTCTACAGGCTCCTCATCCGGACCGGCTGCATGCAGTCACAGTCGGTTTGACGTTTGAGAGATAGCATTCTCTCACCGTCTTCTGATCTCCGCTCAAGGAACCTACAGACCCATCATCTCTTTCAAATTTAAGGAGCATGAGGGAGGGAATGATGACTGCTTTGGACTCATTCAGCGTTGGCCTGACTAGTATCAGGTTATAGGCGGTCAACTCCTCGACAACAAGGAACCGGACCACCATGTGGCGTCCTGCCCCCTTCTCTCCTAACCAGATGGGTAGGTCAATCCTTCCCACCGGATGCACGACCCCTCCCCCAAATCCAACCAAGGGGTGAGAAACTTGGGTCATGCTACAGGGCTTATTCTTGAGCTTAGCCAAGCACTTGTGACTGATCAGGTCGGATGAGCTCCCAATGTCGATTAGGATCCGACCAACCTTCTGATTGGTTATCTTGCAATTGATCACTATGGGGTCATCATGCGGCCGCCTGACCTTGCCCCTGTCCTTCTCAGTGATGAGGACGTTAGGGAATGTGTCTTTTGACGCTGGCCCTCATCTATTGTGCTGACATCCAGCCTCCGGACGTAGTCCTTGGTGCCACGGATGGTAGGACCCCCACCGACAAAGCCGCCTGCTATAGTATAGATCGTTTCATCATCGGTGTCCGAACTATTAGCAGATTGGGGTGCCTTCTTGGACGGCTGTCCATCGTTTGCTTTGAGGGTTAGCTTGGACTTCGAAATATAGGACTTCAGTACTCCTTTATCAGCCAGACGGTCCAATAGCCGTTTGAGGCTGAAACAATCATTGGTATCGTGGCCAATGTCCTCATGGAAGTGACAATATTTGTTCTTGTTCCGATTTCTGACGGAACCCTTCATGGCAGCCAGTTTATTAATAGATACCCGGTCCTTGATCTCCATGAGGATGGAGTAACTGCTCTTGTTGAACTCGTACTTGGGGGTGTACGGTTTCAACTCCTTCTTCTTCTTCTGGGATGGCTGACCAGAATTGTCCGCCACCCAGACTTCTTTTCTTTTCTTACTCTCTTCCTTTTTAGCCGGCTGAGCAGACCGGCTCTCTTTTTTGTCGGATTTTTTGGAGTCCGACGGCTGCTTGATGGCGCACAGCTCAGTAGCCTGTATGTAGGCTTCCGCTTCCATCAAAGCCTCATGTAGGGTAGCGACCCTTTTTCGGACGAGATCAAACTTGAAGGTTGATCCGTTTTTCAGACCCTTAAAGAAGTCTGTGTAAGCCACTTCGTCAGACAGTCCTTGAATTTGGATTCTCATCAGATTGAACCGCCTGACGTAGGACCTAAGCCCTTCTCTGTCTCCCAGTTGTATGGCACTCATGTCCATACTTGTTTTCTTCGCAGGAATATTCATAGAGAAGTTTGAGGCGAACAAGTACGCAAGCGTCTTGAAGCCGTTTATGCACCCGGCTGGCAAGTTGCCAAACCATCGTTGGGCAATGCCCTTCAATGTAGCCAGAAAGCATTTGCATCAAGTGGCATCATCCAACCCCTGTAAGTACATGAGGTTGGTGTATGCCATCAGGTGGTCTTCTGGGTTGGTGGTACCGTCATAGGCACCCACCAACACATTCTTAACCTTAGCAGGTTGTGCTGCTTCAGTTATCTCCTTGGAGAACGCAGAAGGTTGTTCCCCAAGATTTAGCAGCCTGAGCTGCCAGTCCATTGGCTGGACATTCTAAGCCGCCTGACCTCCAAAGAAGGCCGACTGCATGTAAGGCGATCCATACGGCATGTATGGCTGTTGGGGAACATACGAAGCCGGTTGGATAATATGAGGGCCAGTACGTGCGGACAGGCCGAGTGACTGGCTTTCTCAGTTCGTTTCTGAACACCTCATGGAGGTATTCAAGAAACTATCTGGGTAGGTCGACGTTGAAGCCGACTCAGACAATTGTTGACTTCTCTTCTCCTGGATTAGCATCCGGGCATCCGAGAATGTCTTCTTTGAACCATCCGGCTGAACATGTCGGATGACCTTCCTCTTCCCTGATTCAGGGCATCGGATCTTAGTTAGGTCGCTAAAGGGTCGGTTACCCTCCTTTGGTTTGGGATGAGGAGTAGGGACACGGTCCTGAACTGACTTCTTTTTCCCCATGGGAGAAGGCTTTTTAGCTGTCTGACCCCTGCCAAAGCCACCAGTCCTCTTGTTTAAGAGGTCCTTGATCTCCCCTTTGAAACTCGTCATGAATTTTATAAGCTCGTCTCGGGTCACGGGAGTGGCACCCTCCACCGCCTGGGGTTGTCCAGTAGGTATACCGGCTGGATTGCTTGGGCTAGCCTTGTCTTCGCCCCGTTCCCTCGTTTCTTTGGAACGGGTGCGTCTTGTCCAGAATGACCCATTTGGGGCCACATAGGTGTCGACCTGAAGGTCGTCATCACTATCTGGGTTCATTTGGACCTCAACTTTGACCGTAGGCCGCTTGCCTTTGGCAGGCGGTACAGATTCTTTGGATGCCATCTTAGAAGTACTCTCCCCACATACGGCGCCAAATGTTTCGGGGTATTCTGTGTCCTTCGGGAGAGTTACAACACCAAGGCTGGAATCCAGACATCTGTACCTGCAAAACAACGGAGACTCCGGATAGGGAAGTTCCGCCTCCAATGATCAAGTTAGAACCGGAATGGAGTCTGTAATATATGCGAAAGTTAATGATCTTCTTGAATTACGAGATTGGGAGTAAATGATCTGCACTTAATGTGCTCGGTTGGTTGGTATTGAATGTGAGTGGTTTCCAATGGGGAAACATCTCCCTATTTATAGGGTCTGGAAGCATGTGCCACGTGTCCAGAGGGGATTGGCTCTTATGAGCCACTCTGAAGGTGACACGTGTCACGCACCGATTGGACCACGTGGCATAGGGTATTTTTACCCTAAACAAGGGGAATACCTAGCCAATCTTAGGTGATAATAAGGTACAAAGATAAGTTATTACAAAGAGTAATATCCATGTTATCACTAACAAAATGTCCTACATTGGCGATCTAGTCTGCTGCTTTGTTTGCTTCTCTATAGACGTGACAGATTTCCCAATGGTGAAACTGTTGTAGGGGAGTCAAGATGTCGATGATAATGTGTTCGATTTGCCATGGAGTAGACCAAGTCCTTTTTAGAGCATTGACAACAAGGAGATTATTGCCTTCAATGTGTAAATGTCGAATCCCGTGCTAAATAGCGAGAGGAACGCATTTCTAGAAAGCTGAACCCTCTGCGATGAAGACGTTGGTATTGCCAAGGTTGAAGGTGCGAGCTACAATCAGAGTATCATCACTGTTTCTAATGATAACATGCTGCTGCTGAATTGTTTTTGAGTGACCCGTCGATAGTTTTTCACATATGAGAGTCTTTTGGGTGGTGGTGGTATTCGAATAGAGAAGAATTATGAAGATACTTATCCTTAATCATCTTGACCCATAGATTAGAGGTAAATTAGGTAAAATTCGTCTTAAGCCTAGCCCCCCCGGCTTTGGGTCTATATTTTTTATTCCATGTTATTAAAGGGCTCTCATTCTTATCTTTTTGTTGTCTCCAAAAAAAATTACTATGCAAGAAGTTTAGATTTTTAGTGACATCTGAAGGAAGGAGGGAGGAGGAGCGGAGATATGAAGGAAGCGCTTCTAAATTGCTTTAAATTAGCGTGTGGCGAGTTGCTTTAGAAAAATAGTCTGCTTCCCTGTGTTATATTCTGTTTTGAGTAGCATTTATTAGTTTTTTAAATCCCTATTTAAAGGGTAATATGAGCTAAAAAATACTCTTTAGTATCTTCCAAGTAAGGAACTTGGGGTCATGTTAAAATGCGCTGCGAGGCATGGTTGTCGCCTATTAGCTATTTGTCGGGAATATATTATAGAAGACTTATGAAAGTTCATGAGTTGACCTAACATACTACAAAAATCAACAAGTACTCTTTTCAGTTTATTATTGCAAGAAGATGTTGTAGCTAGGGATGGCAATGGGTCGAGTAACATAGGAGACTCGCCTCATACCCGCCCCACTGGGCCGGGTATGAAGTGAGGTTTGGTACGTGGTGGGGCGGGGGTGGGTATATAAAGTGCACCTGCCATAGATGATAAGTAGGGTATGGATTTTAGAATATATCCGCTCCATACCTGCCACGCCCCATATACGCGCAATACCCCGCCTTATTACAGTAAGGGGTCGTTTGGCTCGTTGTTATGAGGAAAGGGAATGGGAATGATTATCTTTGTAAGTGTTTGTTTTGCATCTTTTGTCATTCCCATTCTCCATTTTTATTTTTAGGTTTACCCAAAATATTCTAAACTCATTCCCCCCCCTTTACCTTTTCCATTATCTTTCCTCCTCATCCCCTCCCATTTCCGAGACGCAGCCACGCATCTCCCTTCTCTCTCAAACCCTAACTTGAAGCTTCGAGCTGAGGTAGCCGCCGCCGTCGTCGTTGTTTCTCCGGCCACTCCGACGCCGATTAGGTATGCCTGCTGTCCCATGCATCACCTTCCTCTATTTTGTGTCCTTGATTTCGGCTTTTTTTGTTAATTGAATTCGTATTTCTTTTGTCTTCACGAATTCGTATGTTTTTTGGGATTTATTTTGTTGAATTCGAATTTTTTTGTTGATTTTTTTCACTTCTGAATTCGTATTCTTAGGGTTCTCTGTGTTTTGTTTTTTAATTCTAGGGTTCATGAATTCGTATTTGTTACTTCACGAATTCGCATTCTATTTGGGATTTTTTTGTTTGTTGAATTTTTTGAATTTGTTTGTTGATTTGCTGTTTGTTGATTCAGCTAAGAAATGTGAGGTTACCACGTTTTTGTTGGAAATTATTGTCTGGTTGATATCTTTCATTGTCTTGACTTGCATGTTGAATGTTTGTGCAGCCTGTTACCTCTTCCTTTTCTTTTTTAATGGCTAAATGTTAGTTTTTTTAGTAGTATATAATTTGTATTAAAGCTGTCATTTATGTGCTTTCTTGCATTATTGAAATCGAGAGCATGATCAAGGTTAACCGAAACACTACATCATTTCTGTAGTACTTATTTGATAGTGTTGGGTGATAAAGATTGAGTATTTGTTTGATTTTGGGTCAGTTTTACCTGTTTTTGTTTTGTTTTTTTTATAGTTGTTGCTTTTAATTTAGAATTGATTTCAGTAAACTAGTACTACATTTGGTTTATGGAGTTTGCTGTGTAGGATTAAAGAAGGATGTTGTGATGTTTTGCCTCGATGTTAACGGGGTTACTGTTGCATAGTGTGGAGAACCGAACTACATTGCTGTTGCTATGATTGAAATGATTTCAGTAAACTAGTACTACATTTGGTTTATGGAGTTTGCTGTGTAGGATTAAAGAAGGATTTTGCGATGTTTTGCCTTGATGTTAACGGGGTTACTGTTGGCTTTTAAGATAATATGATTTCAGTAAACTAGTACTACATTGTAGTTGTCCTTTGTCATCAAAGATTTTAAGATAAAAAGATGCAAGTGGTAGCACCACCTTGTTGGCTTTTTTTCTTTTTCTTTTTTTTTTTTTAATTTTTTTTTTATTTGTGCTTCAATGTGGTAAGAGAACATATCAAAAGGTTCAAACAATACGTTCTTTCTTACTTTGTTTCTAAAATCTTTCTCTCGACTTTATTGCTTTTGTTCTATAGAAATATCGTTCTTTTGAACATCTTTTCCACCCTGTTAACATCATGTAGTGTATTTTATGTCTCAACCTAAATCAATAAACACACACACACACACACACACACATATATATGTATATATAATATATAGGTTTAGGTTGAGACTTTTATGAGTTTTGTATAAATATGTAAACCTCTCAATGATATGGTGTTGTTGATGTTCTTTTGTACAGAAAATGGCTCGTATTGGTACTTCTTTGAAAAAAAAATCAAGACTGAAAATCTGCAAAAAGAAGGAAAAAAAAGTGATGGTGCTGGTAGTTCGAACGAGTTAGCCAGCTTATAAACATTCATGAAAGATATGAGGGTTGTTTGGTTTGCACAGGGGAATCGGAATGGAATGCAGAAAGGGAATGCAGGAGAAAGGAAAGGAATTCCATAATCTGGGCAAGTTGTTTGGTTGTGCTTAGGAAACGGAATAAACTGTTCATTGATTCCCTTTGCTGCTGTTTGGTTCAAACTAGGGAATCAAACCAGGAATTTTAAAATTTCTCTCTATTTTTTTTTATATAATAACCTGTTTTTTATATAATAAGCACAAAAATAAGAAAAAAAAACATGTTCCTGTAATATGGAATAATAGACCTGTAAAATGAAAAAAAGTGATATGCTATTTTTATATTATCCATAGTTACTTGTAACATAAAAAAATATATTTTCCATGTTAAAACTAATTTTTTTAACATCGAACCTTGTTAACATCGAGGCAAAATATCACAAAATCCTTAAGCATTAAGCATTGGAATCTCACACTAAGCATGCTTAAGCTAATAAGAAAAGAGGGAGGATAATACAATAAGCATTGGAATCTCACACTATTGAAGCTTAAAAGTTTTGATGATGATGATTAAAAACAAACTTCAACTAATGCGATTTCTCTAAGTGTTTAATTAGAACAAGTGAAGTTGACTTTGGAAGTGGAAGTGGAAGACTCAAGGAGATCTAAAGGAAAGTTAAATAAAATGGAAGTGCTAGAACAAGGTTCAAAACTTTAACTTTAAAAAAATGGTTTCCTCATAAAATCGTGTGTGTGCATTGCAAGTTCCTTTATTATTCTGTTTTAATTTCGTAAAAGTAGTCACTAGGAACTCACTTACAATTCACCTCCCCTCTTGTAGAGTTCATCTCAAATAACACACACCCAAACATAAGTGCATCTAGCAATGAAACTTAGTCATAGTTAATAACAAAGTTATGGTTGCACGCATTTCCATCATCTCTCTTCCTCCTTTTGGAGTTGTTAAATACTTTTGTATCAAGGGAAGAAGAAGATAAACTCATATTTGCATCAAATCAAAATTGATAGCAGGGTTGAAATTAAGGATGACAAAGGCTCTGGACCCGATTCAAATCCGTGGACCCAGATCCGTTTTTTACGGACATGAATCCTCAAAATTTAGACCCAACAGATCCGGATCGGATCCGAGTCTAATTCTAATACTCGGACTCGGATTTGTTTACCCGTTTTTAATTTATAAACAAACCATTTTTTTTTATTATATGGCCCAACACTACTAGTCTCAACTCTTGTGATGAATAATCCCTAGGCATTAAAAAAAGTTTCATCAAGATCATCCTCGTTAAGATTAGCCTAGATTAAAAGTTTCATCATGAATAATCGAAATAATCCTAGTTAAAAGTTTCAGGAGCAGGAGGATTAAAAGTGATTTTATCCCCAAAGGTGACCTAGAATTCCCGATGGGTAGCAAATTAGCATTGTTAGTTGGGACAATAGTAGTTAGGGGTGAAAGTTAAGATTTCAGTTTGGATTATTGGCTAAACCGAATCCAAACCGAATTATATTTCGGTTTTGGATTTTGGAACTGAATCCAAACCGAATTTGGATTGGATCCAATCCAATCCAAATCGAAATAATTCGGTTTTTTCAGAAATGAATCCAATCCAAAACGAAATTTTGTTGGGCCGTCTTTTTAGGCCTAAAAAATTGGGCCTGTTATTAAACTTATTGTTTTGGCCCTTAAAATGGCCTAATATTTTCTAAATTTAGGAGAAAGCATAAATAAAAAAAATTAGTCCAGCCATTAGAATAAATTTCAGACATTATAAAAGTCTTAAAAATAAAATAAAAGTCCTCATTTAACTAATAAATTCAACATGGTAGCTTCAACATGATGGTAGCAGCTTCGACAACTTCAACTCTTCAAACCTTCAGAGTTCATACTGCATAGTACATACACTAAGGCATTAATAGTTGAAAGATTTACCATGCATAGCCATATAAAGAGAAGTAAAAGAGCTTGAATACATTTAATACAACAAATATAAAATTCAGAACAACATATAAACACCTCATAACAACATATAATACAACAAACTTAAAATTCAGAATAACATATAAACATATAATCTAACTTAAAGTTCTAAATTAAAATACAGAACAACCAAACTAAAACAATCAAATTAAAGTATTAAAGTATGATGTATAATCTAAAAAACAAGTGGCTAACTATCAAGGACAACACGATTTGGGATTAATTCGAACATAACAATGGGCATAACAACCAACAAGATTGGGGAAACAACAAGAAAATAAAATTAATCAATGGAATTAATTTGAACATTTGGGAATAGATATGTTACCTTTGAGTGTTGTATGAGAGAGTGAAAGTGATGGAGGTGTTGGTGAGGGCGCCACAAGGTGGTGACGCAATGGAGGTGTTCGTGGACAAGGGAGCCGCAAGATGGTGACGCAACGGAGGTGTTCGCGTACAAGGGAGCCGCAGGGTCTGACGCAACGGAGGTGTTCACGCAAGGTGGTGAGGGCACCGCAAGGTGGTGAGGGAGGTGCTGACGGAGGTGGTGAGGGAGGTGGTGAGAAAGGGGGAGAATGTAGGGAGGTGGTGTCGTGGTGAGGTAGCCGCAAGATTGAATTAGAAGAAAGGAATTAGGGTTTAGGTTTATATATGAAAAGGAAATGGGTTGGGATATTTGGGCTTTGTATAATTCGGTTTGGATTTTTGGTGTTCGGTTTTTTGAGGTCCCAAACCGAAGTATTTTGATTTTAGATTTTTGGAACTGGTTCAAACCGAAAACTAAAAAAAAAACTGAACCGAATTGTTAGTTCGGTTCGGTTTGGTTCGGTTTTCAATTTTAAATCGTATTACTTTCACCCCTTATAGCAGTATCCTCATGCAAGGAGTGGCTTGAGGAGGACGCTGGAGAAAGATGTTCTCCATGAGAAAGATTGGTGTTAGAAGGATCAGCTTTGTAAGAGAAGAAAGATCGAGCTGTTCACTCTGGAGCAAGGTCTAAAGGAGGTGCCTCGTCTAGCCCTGCCACCTCTATTAATGAAATGGGGCCTCACTTTGGATTAGGGTTTAACATGAATCCAATCAGACTCAGGAAGAGAGAATTGGCGAGGTTGCTAGCCTTCAGCTAGGTTATAGTGAGATTGAGTAGGTTTATTTGGACAAGTTTTTAGAGTGTGGTCCTTGTTACCACAAAGAGGGAAAACTTCGTGGATCCCTTCATAAGAAAGGTAGAAAAGAATATCCTTCTCCTCTGTATTCATAAAGAGAGTGCAAGGAACATGTTTGGAAACATCAATGTTGAGACACACCTCAGCAAACTGAGGTTTATCATCATTTTTGAGAGTATAATTATCAAGCTTGACCAAAGTATCAATGCTAGAAGTGAGGGAAGCACAGTGATCCGATCCCAAGACCAATATTCAGTGGGGAGGAAAGGGATTTTAACCCATTAATAGACATGAGAAATTCCTTTACCGAAAGGATGATAGTTAGGCTCCCATGGGAAGAGAACAAGATTTAAACCCTACATAAACCAAGGTTCACAAGTCCAAACTTCATCTTTATCAATCGGGCTAGAGAATTTGATAATAAACCAACCATTGGTTAGATTTCTAATAGTTAACTCCCCATGAATGAAGTTCCACTGTCTAACTAACTCCGCCCTGATTTTAGTATAGAGACAATTAGCTCTGTGGTCAGCTTTAGTAGTAGCGACAGAAAGAGTATGAGCAAAGACAGTTACGCTAGCATAATGCGGATTTGAAACTGACTGAGAAGAAGGACATGCATCCTTTGGAGAAGGAGAAGGGGGAGGAACACTAGGATGGTTACCTCCTACAGAGTTGCTGGGATGGGATTTAGGGGTTTCACAATCAAATACACTAGGATGCGTGATATGTCTATTTTATATAGTGATTTACCCCCATCCCTTGTTCATATTTAGGAGTATATTTAGCTCTACGGAGCTATTTTTATTACTAATATGTGTTTTCTAGTGTTTTCGTAACTTTGGCATTATTTTGTAGGAAATTGCAGATTTGGAGCATTACCCGGACTTATTTGAGCCACTACGAGCATTTGATATGGAGCGCACTCGTATGACCATATTCCGTATCCCAAGACTGCGTTAGAGTGATCAAACCGGTGATTAAGGGCTCGGCGAAGAAGGAGAAACCGAGGCGATGGACTTAAGTCGCAAAGACCCAATGAGGATATTTGAGTTAGGCCGAGTAAAGAAGCCCAAGCGAGGAATTAAGTCTGCCTGGTGGACTCGCCCGACCGGGCTAGAAAGGAAGCCCTTCGCCCTGAGGTGCGCCCGACCGGGCAAGGAAGAGAGAAGGATTGTCTTGGAGGTGCGCCTGGCCAGGTGGTCAGGCGCCTTTCCGGGCGCGTTTGATGGTGCTTATTGGCGTTAATTGCCGTTTTAGCTTAGGATTTTCTGGCTTTAATATAAATACGCTTTTGTTAAGCGAGACACGTACGTTTTTCATTAGTTAAAAATCTAGATTTTAGAATTTAAATTTACTTAGCAATTTGTTCTCTCAACATTCTTGGGTTTTATGCAATTCATTATCTCTGTTTACTTTGGTAACAATTTTCTTCCCTTTTATTTCTAGTAATTTATTGCTTTGATTAATTATGTCTTGTTTAATTGCTTTGCTTAGCTTAGCTAGAATTCATTATGCTTGAGTAGTTTATTTCTAGGGTTCTTGGGGATTCGTAAATAATATGAAGGGATGATTTATTATTGTTGATAGTTAATGCTTTGATTAATTTCCTATTGATTGATTTAATGCTATGTAATTAGAATATGCCTGTTTAAATGTATGAGTTATGCAATATTGATTCGAGATTCGACATATGAGAATTGATGTTTAGGCTTAGTTACAATAGGTAGGTTAATTTATAAATGGTTAAGTCAAGATTCGAGAGATGAGATTTAATACCGCTAGATTAATTCTGTG